GTGATGCTGGAATCTTTAAATAAGCTAATGAGAGTTTGGTTTCCCCAGGCAAAGTCTTTGGCATCCTGGTCTGTCAGTCTTGGAGTCTGCACTTTCTGCAGTGGAAAAGTGGAAATGATCAGGTTAAAACTTCTCTGGCAACGTCGTGTTTCCAGCAGCAGGTTTATTTTGCTAACAATAATTAACTCTGTAAATGAGACTGTGTTGTAATGCTGAAGATTCAGCATCAACTTTGGTGATAAGTTATTACAGTTATCTATATGAAAATATTTTTATCTTTGTCTTTTACATAATAAATCCCTGGAAATAGTGTAGTTATTTTTTAAAAAATTTCATTTGCATCTGCCTAAAAGATCATTTGTTTTATTAAGTCAAGCACTGAAACATAAAGAAATATGCCAGATTTATGATGTCTTGTGCAGCCTAATTCTGCCTTCTTATGCTTATATATAATGATAATTATTCATAGAATCATAGAATGGTTTGGGTTTGAAGTGACCTTCAAGATCATCTAGTTCCAACCCTTCTGCCATGGGCAGGAACACCTTCCACTAGATTAGATTGCTCAAAGCCTCATCCAGCCTGACCTTGAACACTTCGAAGGATGGGGCATCCACAACTTCTCTGGGCATCCTGTTCCAGTACAAGAGTGTTCCTTGAAGAGTGATTGTTCCTGTTCCTTGAATAGTGATTGTTTTGTGCCATGAGATTTATGTATCTAATATGCAAAACATTTATACTTGATTTTTTATTTTCAGGTACTTGGTTTCTTAGACTATGAAACATTACATTTAGTTAGTGTGATATGTTATGCGAAGATTCAGAGCTTTGTGAACGAGCTCTGCATCTTAATCCCTCTTCCTCTCACCACAGAGAGGTGGAGATAAATCAGGAATTTGTTCATCTGTTATTTCCTCCCCTTGAGTGATAGAAGGGGCAATACAAGCTGTCTCAGTGTCTGTCTGGAGAGTGGAGTGGCAAGCAAAGTCCTGAAGAAGTGAAAGTCTGGAAGTGGATATAACCACTGACAGCTGACACATGGCTGGGGGGGCGGGGGAAGACTTAAGCTTGTCTGCCTGGACAAAACTATTCCCAGGCTGTCTAGAGCAAAAGGAGAACATAGCTTTGCATCAGTATCACTGGTTCTAAGTAACTCATAAGAATATGTGTGGCTAAGAAGGTATTTACTGAAGAAAAGCTTCATGAAAATTTTAAGGAGATAAATGCAGAATTTAACTATTTTATTAAAGAGTTTACTAAGCTGGTTGTCAATAATCCCATTCCGTTTCTATATTATGATACTTTTACAATATCCAAATATCCACCAAATATTTCTGAGTATTTCATTGAGCATTGTCTGGGGTAGGCATGACTGAAGATTAAGTGAGTATTGTTGTACATTGAGTACACATAGCTCATCAATAGGGCTAACAGCTTGAATCTATTCCTCAGTTTAAGAAAGCCTTATTTTCTGGTGAAAGGAGTGCTTGCCTCTGAAGGCTATTGGCGTTTTGATGGCATGGTTTTGTATAAAATCTCCCTTTTAAATTCCTTGGTCTGTTGATCTTTTTTTTTATTTCAGTCTGGGGACAGACTTCAAGCTGTTGGAGCGAGGAAAGGTAGAAAGGGTGGTTGAGAAAGTGACCATAAAGCATGCTCTTTTTTATGTATATATAAAAGGTGGACCATAGCCAAATTACTTTGTGATAAGATTATGCTTCGTTTGGTCTCCTTTGTCCTTTCTACTGATGTGCTTATATAAGCCTTGAGGATATTAAAATAGGTTTTTGAAACTTCAGTTCATAATGCAAGAGAAAGATTAGACTCTTTGTCCAAGAATGCTGGCTTCGAGCAATAAAGAGATTCTGTATATAAATAAACCTCCAAAAGAAATTTCTCTGGTAGACGACTCTTGACAATACAGAAGACCTTTGTATGCACCATCTGAAGCAGGGAAGGAACTTCTGTCTCACAGATGAGTGCATTCAAGGGAACTGTAACAAAAGAGGGCACTACTTTTTTTGATGAGTAGGAAGTTCTTTTGGCTTGTAGAATTACATGATACTGGCTTTCAGTAAAAGCTGTGTAACGGATTGCATATATTTTTCCAAGGATACTCCTCAATAGTGTATGACAGCACACTTCTGTTCTTGATAGAATGCAAGCACATATTGACCTAGTCCTGACCTAAACTGGATTGTCTCATCCAGTCATGAAGAGTACTTCATATTCATTTGCTCCTTTGAGAGTAAAGGCAGAAAAACAAAAAAAAAAAAAACAAACCAACAAGCTCAACTTAGGACTTCTGAAGATTGAGTGTATAAGTAATGCCAAGACCAACAGCTCCACCATGCAGGGCACTAGCCTGGAACTCTTCAGGAGAGAAGTAGCCTGTGCATGTTTTGGACATGTGTTTTCTTTAGTGATGCACACCATTTTGCTTTGTTTAGTCAAAATATTTTCAGACATATATACAGGAGGAGGAGAATGAATACAGACAATGAGAGAAAGTATGATTGAAGAGAAACAGCAAATGACATTAAATGTTGACAGGATGTGGAACAATGTCAGTGACCAGGTTCACTTGCAAAGAATACAAATGCACTTTGATTATACAAAAGAGGAAATGTATTAAAACATGAAACATTAAATGGATTTTTCTCTATTTCTAATGATGAAACATGTCACAACAACTTCCCTAAACCTACAAATCTATAATTTCAGATAATATTAATAGTTGTGTTTCTTAGCATAACTGAATAAGGTGTTTGAACATGGCTGATGTTTACAACTTTTTTCCAGGAGCAGCCTTAATGACTAATTTGTGTGTGTGTGTGTAGAAAAGACATGAAACAATTGAAAAGAATAAGATATGTTTCTACTTCTGGAGGACACTACAACAGCTGTTTAAAAGAACATTGCTGCTAATGGTATTGTTTATAAGAAGTGACTTCTTGTCCAACTGAAACTACTGCTAGAACGTAGCCAGGCAGAATGTAAATTTCTAAGACAGAACTTGGCCAGTTTAAGAGTTATAACGATATTCTGTAGAGATCTGTGATTCTATTTTTAAGCAGGAAAGTAAAATTGTTTAATACTTCTCTTTGAATGAATCACTTTCGGTTGATAGGTTGGTGACTCGCTAACATTTCTGACAGTAACAGCATTCAATAGTTTTTCCCAGAAGTTTTGATAAAAGAGTCAAATCTGTACAAAAAAAAAATGAATTAAGGACAAAAAATTAAGATGGAAAAAAGAACAGAAGTATCTTATTTCTGACATCGGTTCTACCTTTTTTTAAAAGAGCGTCTTTGCTTGCTGTTTTTCAACCTCCAAATATGAATATTTGAACCCAATATAAAGCAAGTCTGCTTCTTCCCATAAATTTTCTCTCCTTCTCCAGTCTTCTTTTCTCCTATTCCAAATTCTCCCTGTCCCTTCTTTAAATACCTTAAGTGGAAGCATTACCTGGTGACCAAACCAATAATGTTACTCTCAAAGCTGCCTGTCTGCCTCTTGAAAGTTTGACTAGGATGGAGAGAACCAAATCAATTTCCTTTGGAGCATGCTTTTGGACCTTCAACTGTGGTAGCCCTTCAAAAGGAAGGCTACTGTTTCACCTCCCATGCTTGCCTACAGGCTTCAAAGTGTGGTCAGGGAACTTCCAGTTGAAAATTTAAATTAGAAAGGTGAATTGTGATTTTGGTGTGTTCAGTTTATTTTCAAGACTGCATAGTCCAAAAGACAGAACAGAGGGGGAAGTGACTAATCTACTTTGTCTTCCTAAGGATTCCTCCAAAGCTTATTTGGCAGTAGTCAGTTTTGACAGCAGTGGTCCAGGGAAACATTTCTGTTTCCTTTTATGAATGAAAGCAGACGTGTGCTTGTAAATGAGTGTCAAAAATAGTATGTTGGGAAAGAACATGATTATGTAAGTGTAAAGACATGTCTGAAAAGGAAATTTAAAACTAAAAGAAGTGCTGTAGCAGTACTTATGGATCTTATAAATAATATTATTAGGCTGATGGTGGGTAGAGGTAGTTGATCTTGATACCCAAAACTGAAAAACACGAAAGTCTGGGTTGAATTATCCCAAAATGAATGGGATTGGGATCTAGGGTGTTTGCTAAAACCTGCTATACTTCCAGTGCATTACCAGCAGCTAGGCATTCATTATCTTCTGTTCTGAGTGGTCTGGAAAAACAGCAAACTTATGAATGGTGGCATCAGAATTGCACAACATACATTGCAAACAGGACATGTGACGCAATCAGTGACAATAACTATTTTAAGCAGTATAATTATGTAGCAGGTGTGGGTAGAGGAAGGTTGGCATGAATTAAAAATATTGACAAACTCAGGGTTGTCTAACTTCAGTCTTAGCAAGATGAACATTATAGACAGTAAGTACGATAGCTGATATTAATTTTACAGGTGATGTGTGGTATTATAATCCTCACCATCTGTAAGATGCAAAGAGTTAATTCTATTTCTATTTTAAGTCTGATGTCTGATTAGTTTAAATATCTTTGAATTAGTGGAATGATGCTCTGACGATCAGGTCTTCTGTCGAGATTTTAATAAGTATCAATTCAGATAATTAAGGTAGAATGATTCTGTAGTAAACATAGAAGCTTCAGACATCAAGTTAACAAAGTGATAGCTATTCCAGTAAAATAAGCAACATCAGTTGAGAGTTTAAAGGAAAGTATGGTTTCGGAGGAGTAAGCAGCTTCATTACACTCTATTAATGATCCCATAGATAAATTTTGCATTCAAATTAATGCTTTGCTTCTGGAGAAAGCAGTATTACTGAGCTTCATCCAACGATGCAGAGAGATTTACATGAGCTGAACATCTGTGATTCCCTGAGTTCTGACTTCCTAAATAAGATACTTTTTTTAGAATTACGTTAGTTGTAGATTTAGTAGTTCACTTTTTTTTATCTTTCTCTGCTGAAAGACAGCTGTTTGAATTAAATTCATTCTTTATCCTTTCAGGGTCTTCATTCTGGTGCCTACTGGATATCGTTCCTATAAAGAATGAAAAAGGAGATGTAGTACTCTTTCTGGCCTCTTTCAAAGATATAACAGATACAAAAGTGAAGATTGCTGCAGAAGACAAAAAGGAAGGTTTGTGTGAATTGAACCAACATTGATAAGTTTTTTGAGAGTTGTACCTACATGAACTCTCTGTCGTGTATGCTTTTCAATACATAGACCTCCTAGCTTTCCAAAGAAGAAATTAATATATGACATGAAAGGATAAATAATCTGTTGACATTCTTATTTTTAATTTTTACATATTACTCCACATTCTGTAAACATGGAATCCAGGGGACAGAGTACTTCGTCCTCAAAATTAAATTTGTTTTAATGTACTATGATTTTATTTATTTACTTTCTGGAGTTTCAGAGGTACATTTTGGAAAAGCTAGACGTTTTCAAGCATTTTGCATGCGAATCTGATTTCAACATGGCTGAAAGATGAACAAATGCATTTTTTCGTGTTTTTCTATAAGCAGGACGTACATATTTAGAAATTATTTTGCCTGTTAAGAAGCCTGACTGTACTTGTGTCATCTCATTTTCATTGCATTATATGAAATTATAAGATTTATTATGTCTTTAGGAATATCCAATAGTATAAGAAATATGTTCTCACATTTATTTTCTTCTGAAAGGAAACAGTTCAAGGATTCTCTCATTAATTTGGGAAAAGATTGCATTACACTAATGATTCACAGTTGCCATAAAATTATTTTGACTGCATAGCGTAGTCAAGTTTTGCTAAATACTGCTAACACTGAGCAAAGACAGCATGGACGGATGGAGATTATGCAGTCAAACTTGACCTGTGTTTTGTATCAAATGCAGTGAACTTATTCGATGTTTACTATTTTCTAAAGGCATACTGAACCAAGACTTTAGTTTCAGTATCAAAAGAACTGTCTAGAAAAAGTTTATCTGTAGAGGGTAAATGAATTCTGTAAAATTTCATTACTATTGAATTTTCCAATCTGGTACTACTCTGGGATTTATTTCAATTTTTTCACTCTGTCGAAGCCATTTGATCTCTGCATATCTCAGAAACAACATAGATATGGCCTTAGGACTCCTTTTGTCCTTGTGGGTTTCTGAAGTAGAGGAACAATTAGTATTCAGCTTTTTCTGATTTTAAAAATTAGCTTTCCAATAGAATAGTTATATTTCAGTTATAGAGAAGTGTAATTCAGCATTCTTTTACAACATTTTAGTACTTTAAACCAGAAAATATTATGCTTCTATATGCTGCTGATTGTTCTTAAATCAACATTTATGCTAACAGTGTCTACCTTTTCTGTACAGTTGGACAAATAATTTCACCTTTGTCTTACTTTTCAAGCCCTGAATAATGAAGGAGTGTTTTTATATCCTTCATTTTTTGCAAAGAACATATTTGAGAATTTCTGAGCTAGAAGACTGAAGAAAGGCTTTGAATTAGTACAGAAGTACAATTTTTAGCTTTTTTTTTACATCCAATTGCAACCAATCACTTCACTTCGAATGATAATAGTTAAAACATAAAGCATATTTTACCTAGTTTCTCCTTAAGCCTTAGAAAGCCTTACACTTATGGAAGTTTTAAGACAGTAGTTTATTAAAAGATGATATGTGGGACCACGTAGAAGAGAGATTGTCAGAACATCTGTGCTTTAAGGGTTAATGATTTACCTTATGTGAGATGCAAATTTTCTGGATGCACTCAGTGAGAAATCGCGTTTAGTATGCTAGTGATGGCTTGAAATAGTTATATCACTGATTACTTGTAAAATGACAGCTATTGTTTATCTGATAAACATTTTATAGCTGTATGCTTATTTTAGGATGGATTAAAATGATCTTCAGCTTTGGATGTGGGTTCATGTTAAATTGTGAATCTAAGCAGATTTTAACTCATTTTTGCTGTTGCAGATTTAAAAATTAATACTCCTACTGTGTACTGACAGAGGAACGCACTTATTCAGAGCTAATTACATCAGCAAATGCTCATTTGATTGCTATAAACTTAAGAATATTGACATTTGCCTGTCTTGGATGATGTACTCTTAAGAGCACAATCCTGATATCTGATTGTTCTTTCCCTTTATACTCGTTTTAAAATCATGGCAAACATCTTGTGCTATGGTGACACTTGTTGGCATCACGGCAACAGAAAGCAGCACTTAGTATGGTGCTTTGCCAAATACGCTCTTTTATATAATATAGTGAGATAAAAACCAGAATTTAATGATTTATTCAAAATATTTACAAAAAAATCCAGCATTCTAATTTTATGTAACTTTACCTAGCTATATAAAAATAAATTTAATGGTATATTAGTGCTTTGAGTAACATTCAAATTTTTCCTATTCAGAGTGATTATTTAGTTCTCCAGTGGTAAACATCATCTTATCATCAGAAAAGAATTCCCAGTACAATCTATGCAACCAATTCACTCCCCAAATTTCAGAATGTCTAGCTTCAACAAGTAATTGATTCTTCTTTACTTAGGCCATAACTACTATTGGGCTTGTAGGATGCACCTCATATTAACAGAAAATTGAGTTTGCTTTTTTTTAAAGGTATTAAAGACCATTTTTATTTTTCAGTGATTAAGTGATTCATTGCCAAGTGATTGATACACATTATCAGATATTATTTTCACAGTTAATATTGTTGAAAATATAATTTTACTTTTTCAAAGATTACTGAATTTGTCCTTTCAAAAATCAGAGAACCTATAAACCCGTAGTTGAAAGCCAGCTCTTGCTATAAGGTAATTGTCATTATGCACAGTTTTCTGTTGCCTTTTTGACATATTTCTTGCAGCTAGATTGTGTATGAGAAGGAGAACATAGATGCAAATATACTCAGTGTGAAACTCTTCTGCCTGTGCAAGGCTGGTGTATTAATGTTTTTTGTTTCAGTCTGTCTCTTCACTGTTCTGTCCACAATAGACACTTATAATTTTTATAGATCATAAATAGTCACATTCCAATGCCCTTTAATTTCTAACCTCCTTAGAAAGCTATCTAACAAAATTCCTTCACGTTCTTTTTCTTCTAAGTCTGCCCTGAACCCCTTGGTGTTCCACCAACTTTGTGGTAATAAGCTCTCACTGATTGCGCCTCCAAATATCTTCTCCAGATTTACCCTTCCTCACATCTTTCCTACATTTGATATCATCTGTTTCTTCTGTAAAACCTTGCTCTCCTTGTACTTTCACAGCAACACCTTCTTGAGCTTTTTCTCCTGGTTTTATGGCCTCTCTTTCTTGTGGATTGTCTTTTTATTTTTACAGACCTCAGGAGTTGATATCCTCTTTGATTTTCTGCAGACCTTTTCTTACCTATTTTATCTCATCTGTTCACATGACTTCAGTTGCTCCTTTGTGCCAATGTGCCTTGCAAAAGTCCACTTTTTTGCCTGATTTTCCTTTACCCAGCCCAAATGTCAGATGCTGTCTGTGACCTTTTCTTTTGAATGTCTCATTCTAAATACAAATTTAACAGATTTTTTTTTTTCTGCTCTTATGCTGTATAAAAGTTTCCAGTGAAATCAACCCTGTCATCCAATGGGAAGAGCAGACTTTGTCCTGAGACTTTCATGTGAGAAAAAGGCAAAAACATGTGTATGAGAACTTTGTCAGTCCTTAAGCAGTGCTGTGACAGTCAGCAATTCTCATGCAGCTTCTTTGGTTTGGTTTGGTTTGATTTTTTCAAGTTACGATCCTCCTCCCCAACCCCCACCCCCCTTTGAATTGTGATGTTCTTAGAGGCCTCAGCCTTTTGGTAGTGGTAATTTGCTTTTAACAAAACATGTTTTCCTTATCTGTAAGTTTATTGTAGAAATACACTCTGCTTTCCATCTGCTTAATAATGCCTATGCTCATTTACTGTTGTGAAAGGCAACTCAACAGCTTTTCTTCCTAAACTTGGACTCTTTAATGAAATTGATAGTCTTTCCTTTCCAATATACAGGAAGAGGTGGGTTTTTTTAAAATAAAAACAATGATTCCTTCAGAAACTTTTTCTTAGATGGCTTTATGGGAGATTTACTTTAGTACTCTAATTTATGATGAGCTACATTTTGCTAAATTCTTTAAAAGCTCCATTGTACTTTTGGGGGAAAACTCAATACACTCAAAGTACCAGACTCCAAATCTGGATGCCAGTAAGTTATGCTGGGTCAGTGCTTATTTTTTTCCTGCATATGAGCTTTCTGTAATACTTTTGGACACGTGGTGGAAGGTAGTGAGATTATTAGAATCCAGGTAAGGAAATAAGAAATTGAATTATTCTATGACTACTTTTAGGTCTCCTATCTATATGCAAATATGTAATAATATGGGTTACATAGATGTACGGTTCTACTGTTATAATCACTGCTAAAATTCTCCTTTTCAATTTGATTCATTCAAAAAATGTTTCCTTTAGCTTTCATTGCTAATCTATTTGTTAGTATTTTCTTTGATAAAATTCTTAGCTCTAGACAGGCTGAGAGAGTCGGGGCTGTTCAGCCTGGAGAAGGCTCTGGGGTGATCTTATAGCAGCCTTCCAGTACTTAAAGGGGGCCTACAGGAAAGCTGGAGAGGGACATTTTACAAGGGCATGTAGTGATAGGACAAGGAGCAATGGATTTAAACTGAAAGAGGGCAGATTTAGATTAGATCTAAGGAAGAAATTTTTCTCTCAGAGGGTGGTGAGGCAGTGGAACAGGTTGCCCAGAGAAGTTGTAGATGCCCCATCCCTGGAAGTGTTCAAGGCCAGGTTGGATGAGGCTTTGAGCAACCTGGTGTAGTGGAGGGTTTCCCTGCCCATGGCAGGGGGGTTGGAACTAGATGATCTTTGACGTCCCTTCCAACCCTAACCAATCTATGATTCTATGATTCTTTGTTTGAAAACAATTGTCTTACAATAGATTTTCTCAAATTTATTCCAGCATTATCATAAAAATGTGTGCAATAGATAGTAACCACAGAATCACACAATAGCTGAGGTAGGAAGGCATCTCTGGAGATTGTCTACTCCATTGCCCTCTCCTCAAAACAGGGTCAGCTAGAACAGGTTGTCCAAATGTGTGCTGAATGTCACCAAGGATGAAGGCTCCAT